GTATTAAAGTTGACCATGACCAATGTTCCCGCTAATCTTTTCCATGTGCAGAATAATTTTTTATGTGAGGAATAATTTTTATGTGCACCAGCACATGTAACAATGTGTACCGCCAGTAGAAACAAAAAACCTGGGTAAGGGCACTCTGCTAATCAACTGGGCAGCATTTGAATCTTTTTTGAGCAGCTGCACACACACACACACACACACACACACACACACACACACACAGCTTACAGAGAACACTGGTCACGATCCCTCAGAGGGACCCAAGATAGTTAAGTGGGGATTGTGAGCTATCAGCCCTAGGCACCAGCCTTCTAACCTCAGCTGTCTGGGTGGGGTGAACGTATCACCCGTCTGGGGGGCGGGCGGGCGGGAAGTGTATGTTTCACTCATTACTGTTTAAAAGGGGTCACCAATACAAAAAGTTTGAGAACCATTGATTTTGAGGTTTGTAGTTTCTGTAAGTGATAATAATTTGAAAATTTAATACAAAAGCATTAAAAAGTGCCAGAATTAATGGTTTGTATTTGTGAAAATTAAGTTTCTAAAGCAAACTTTTACTGAATTACCTTCATGGGTAATCTCCTCTCCCTCTTGTTAGCAAGATGCTAGCATAATTTCAGGCTGCTACTGCATTAACTATGAATTGAATTGCAAACTAGGTGAACAAAGGACTGTTGTAGCACCAAATTTTTACGATTATCTTGTGTTTTTCTATTTTGTTTGTGATGTCAATTTTTCTTGTTCCACATTTTAGATCCTCATGGCGGGCTAAGCTGTCCCCACAAATGTTGGTGGTGAAAAAGGTGGGCAGTTTGTCAGAGTACTGCTTTGCATTGGGATGTACCAAAGAGCTCAAAATTGATGAACTAATTCCTAAAGAACATCTTATTGCTTCTTTGTAAATGAAGGCAATATGAAGGGCAAAAATGCCATAAGGGATAAAAAAAATTCTCCAGGTGACTAAATTTACAATTTCTTTATAACATTTTCATAGTTTGTGCAAATATGCAGAAAAAAGAAAGAGTTTTTTCCCCAACATTACCTATTCTAGGCGTACATCCAAAGAACAGATAACAGCTGGTTTGTTTTTAAACATCTAATCCTATAACAACAGCTGTTTGAGATTTGTTTTAGCTACAAAAGAAGAAAGTTGTAAGTTCTCAGCTACTGTTAACATCTGGAAGACTTAACTGTAATTTTGGTAACATTTAATCTGATAAGATTTTAAAAATGGCATCTGTGGGATAAATAACCAAGTATCTTTCCCCACTTTTCTCAATAGGCTTAGATTAAAATAAGTTTTTTGTGACATTATGAACAAATATCCAATCCTAGGTAGATCTGGTTAACAAGAGAGAGGGGTTATGTTGTGATAATTAGGGCCACAAATTTACCCTAATTGAGAATGCAACAGCAAAAATGAATGTTTATAAGTTGTCACAATAACCACTAGCAAAAAGGTACTAAAGGGAGACAAAGGCTATGTCTACACTGCAGAGCTTTTCCAGAGGTATCCTGGAAAAGCTCTGCTGCATCCAAGGAACGCATCTGCTTTTCCGAATTTTTTTTTGGAAAAACAGATGCATTTTTTCAGCATCCCTGTAAACCTCATTCTATGAGGAAAAAGGGATGTTTTGAAAGAGGATTTTTTTCTGACATTTGGCCCTGTGTAGATGGGCCAAATGTTGGAAAAGCCTCTTTTGGAAGAAAAATTGCGGTTCGCAATTTGCATATCTTTTTCCGACTTTTCTTTGTAGTGTAGACATAGCCAAAGACTGAATTAGTCCAGGCAAAAAGTAGTACTTAGATAATTCAATTTATATCATGATCGGTAAACAAGAGAAGAATGGGACAGGAAATCAGCTAATCGAAATGGGTATTTGAAATTGGGCGTAATTGACAGATAAAAAAAATGAGTAGAAAGACTATTGTGTTCATCAGTCCCTTTTGGGGTTCTTAAAAAAAAAAGAGATCATAGGAGGAAAAAGCTGGGTACCAGAACACTGATAAGAGAAGGGAAAGGAACAAGCTTCATCATCATAGCTGCCACTTCATGGTCTCCAGGGATCCTGGATATTCTTCATCCTAACCCTGAAAGGTGTTTTGACCAGACTGGGCCAAAGAAGAGGGAGTTAGACTATATCACCACCTTTACCTGGCTCCCACTAAATCCCAACCACTGCCTGGGATGTGAGAGTTTATCATACACAGGCTTGGAAGAACAGAGTATAATTTTCCTTCCCCAACTTATTTCTTCTCTTTTCTCTCCCTTGCCTTCTAATGAGAGTCTAATTTAGTCTGCAAAGACTGCATGGTTTGCAACACTGCCGCAAAACCATGACCCGAAAGAGGTAGTTAAAAGCCATGCCCTAAATAACCTGATGAGCATGTCAGGTCGTGGAGTGACTGATAAGACTGTGCATTAAGCTTATATTTTTCCAGCAGTAAGATTGCAAATGAGACTCAACATCAGCGACAGAAGCTGCACTTTCCATCTTCTATCGTGGAATGAGGAGTAACGGTAGTTCGAACTAGGAAGCCTAGTTCGAACTACCTAGTTCGTGCCGCGTGTAGCCATGCGGCACGGGGTTCGAACGAGCGGGGATTTAAAAATTGCGGCGCCCCGCTTATGCAAATGAAGCCCGAGAAATTCAAATCCCGGGCTTCATTTGCAATTGCAGTATGCCTACATTACCCCGCTAGTTCGAACTAGCGGGGTAGTGTAGACATACACACACACACACACACACACTCTGTGTGTGTGTGTGTGTGTGTGTGTGTGTGTGTGTGTGTGTGTGTGTGTGTGTGTGTGTGTGTGAGAGAGAGAGAGAGAGACACAGACTGTGTGATGTAGTATGTGTGTGGAGGGACACAATACTTGTGTGTGTATGACAATGACTGGATATGTGACACATGTACTAGGTGTGTGACACAGAGGGTGTGTCTACCCAGCAAAGTTATTTCAGAATAATGGCTGTTATTCCAAAATAACTATGTGAGCATCTACACAGCAATTCCATTCTTTTGAAATAATTTCGATTTCTGTAAACCTCATTCTATGAAGAATAACGCCTATTCCAAAATAGCGTGTGTATATGCTCTACTTATGCTAGTTTGAAATAGCTCCTCACCAGGGCCATTCTAAGTTATTCCTCCTGGGGCTCTAAATCGAGATAGCACATCTACATTAGAGAAGCCTGCCTTGCACTAATTTGGGGTCTTCCCTGCAGTGTAGATGTGCTATTTCAAAATAAGCCATTGAAGAATAACTATTCTGAAATAGCTTATTCCAAAATAACCGTGCAGTGAAGATGTAACCAGACTGTGTGTGCTAGTGTGTAAGTTTCTGAGATATGCCATGCATTGTCTCTTTAAGACAGGCAAAGCTGTCATGCTCTGTTGTCTTCTCCCTCCCTTGCTCTGCAGAGCTGACTGTTGGAGAAAGCAACAGTGCACTGTCCCTATAGACTGGTACATGTCTCAGTCACTCACAACACATACTTCAGACAAAAGTAGCTCCACTGTCAGTGTGTCCCTCTCCTTGACCCATGCTCTGCAGAGATAACAGTACACAAACAGGGGGACTCCCTGACTTTAGCAGTCCCTTCCCTCTCACCTTGATACCCTGCTCTGCACAGCAATCACGAAGATCCTGGGAGCAGTTTGGCTGCAGGACAGAGTAAGGTGGGGGGAGGGCCCACTGTTAAGTCTGCACCCTCTGCTAATCAGCTGGGTGTGGGCCGTCCAGATAGAAGTGCTCGGCTGGCCAGATTTAGCCCCCAAGCCGTATTTTGCCTGCTGCAGTTTTAATACCATGGAATAGTCAATTGAGGGGTTTCCTCCTAAAAACTCTTTATGGCTAATAGGAAAGGGAGCAAGGGATAATGTTAACATTAAAGCTTTACTTAATACTTTACATTTCAAATAATGCAAATTCTCTCCATTCTTTTCTGAATCTTTACTAAAAGGCAACACATTTTTAAATTATGTATTTGCCATAGTGCTATGAAGATTGAGGTCTTGCTATACAAAGCCTTGTTTAACCCAGTTTAATGTTGGAGAGCGACAATGTCTCGTTAATCTCTTTGACTCTTTGGGCTCATTTATTCTATCCAAACTAATGTAATACCTCTCGCTCCTGTAGCCAGAAGCACCCTCCCCTTCGATCAGTGGTCAACCCTTTATTTTTTCCCTCCAAATACAGACTGACAAGCTTCCTTGGAGATTTAAACTCTACTGAAGCTACATTTCCTCCTCCTCCTTTCTTGAAGGGGGCACTGTGGACAGGGAGTCCTCTAAAGGAAGCCTTTGGTGGGGGGAGAGACATATGGAGGCACTGCAGGTTCAGGGTAGAGAGACAAACGTGGGATGTCCTAACAAGAGTCCTTCATATGTTTTATTAATTTTAAATATAGGAAATGTAATCCAAGAGGACAGAACTGTGGAACAAGATTTGCAGGACAACTATATTTGTTGGAGTATTAAACAAGTATCAGGCTACCGTGGTTTCATTTATGACTATTTTCTATTTCTGATAAACATATTGTCAGTGTTAAATTTTTCTCATTGTTAAAATATTCATGTTTATTTTAAAACTGTCTTTAATGGGCATATCACAATATTCATAATTCCTCTGATTTAAACTTTTAATGCTATTTGCATATTGAACCACAGCCTGTGAGTTTAACATAATTTATCTCATTCACTTCTGCTATGTCTAGTTGACATTGCTGGACCCACACAGGTAAGTTATTTCTTGAACAGAATTTGGCCTCAATTGTTTTGCTTTTAATTTTGATAACCCTTTCACTTGTTATTTTCCAGTTTTGATCATATGGAACTTTTTCTGCTCTCACACCATTATGGATATGTTAACTTTTGTGTAAGAGGAGAATCAAAACTTATATTATTCAGGGGTGTCTTTCTTTTCTGTGACTTAACATGTATACCATGAGCAGAATCATAGAAAAAATAACACCTATTGTATGTACCTTTGCGGTTTCATGTCTCAGATTAAAAGTCAGTTCTAGATTGGTGAGAAAGAGATCAGAAAATTCAGGATACATATCCAAAACCTCTAGTAGGTCTTCTCGCTGGATCTTATGCAAGTCACAGTAGGTCAAAGCTCTCACATCTGCATTTGATTTCCCTGGTTTTGCATAAAGGTGTACCATCTCTCCAAAAATATCATTTTTACCTGCAGAAACAAAATCAGACAGATATGATTATTTTAACTGAGAAATCCATTAAAATGAATGCACTCAGAAAAAACTTACAATATGGGATATAAGTGATAAAACCTGATTATCCTGTTTTATACCATTGTACAAGTATAAAAAGAGTAATTTATCAAAATCAATGGAGTTACACTGGTATAAAACTAGACTAAGTGAGAGGATAATCTGAAAATTTTTAAAGTCAGTTTTGAATCATTGTTGCATTATTCCTGCCATAACAGAATATGTGCAGATTTCTACCAGCCCCTCCCCTCTTATAACAAAAATATAATCTAGAGTAGTAAATATTATTCTTGGTGATGATGATGAAGTAATTTTATACCACAGTAAACCCAGATTGGGAGCTCTGGCCATGAGGCCACATGCTAGCAAATGTACAAAAATTTATATGATAACATAATCCTTTACCCAAAGATCTAAAGTTGAAGAAAATTGAGTCAACTTCAGCATAGGAATTAATTCTGAACAATAATTCACAACCTCAAAAGATAGCAGCCCTTTCAATAGAGCTGTTTTCATGCGAATACTTTTGTAACTCTACATTTCTTTAAACTTGACACATTTATAGTATTTATTGTTTCCTAAAATTGTCATCAGAAGTGTACATACTGTGACAAAGCTCCTATGAAAACTCAATGAGTCCTGGACTTCCTGGTGGATTTTCCTTGTCTTAGTGTCTCACAGCAGCCCACAGTTTTAGGCACCACACTTAGGGCTTTAGTTTGCTGTTTGTTGAGCACTTTTCATCATTGGCCAGCATGTAGTAAAATGGAGAATAAACTCCACAGTCCTTTTTCCCGAGTGGAAAAGGGGTAGTGGGTGTTGTGGTGGGGGGAGGAACCTGGGCCCACCCTCTACTTCGGGTTCTAGTTGTCCTCATGAATCTCCGACACCTGCGATAAGACCACTCCAAGACCCCTGGGCTATTTCCCCACATATTCCCCAGCACCTTCCTTCTCTCTGGTTCATCCTAGTGTTCAGTTGTTGTCTTCTTTCCTCCTACTCCAAGTGGCACTTTCCTCCATCCTTTCAGCTACATGCATGCCCCAACTGTAGGCAAAGCTTCTTTTGTAGCCATTCTGAACTGGTTTTCTTAATTACCCCCAAGTGTCCTAATTAGCCTACGCTGGCCTGACTCTGCAGGCCTGGACAATTAGCTATAGGTATTCCACTGCCTTTTATTGCCTCTGCTGGTTCTAAAATAACCCCTCCCTTTTACTCTAGGTCAGAGATCTTCTCAGTCTGAGGCTTATATAGTTCCCCTTCCACTACTTTTTATGGCCTTCTCTTCTGACCCTGTTACAATACTTGTTTTTCTAAAATCTGTGTCTGATCTTTCATAGCTTATGTAGTGTGAGGACATAGGCAGAAAGAATAATGCCTTAAGCAGTAACTAGAGAACCTCATGACAAGGAAGTTTTATCATATATTAAGCTCCCTGCTCCATCCTGGTTCTCCGGTAACTGAGGAGGACCAGGGACTCTAATGACGTCTCACCATATTCAGGCAACATTTCCATTGCATGCAGTGAGGTATTTTGTCTGTATACTAGCCTCTACCCTCTGTTTTTCCGATTGGGTTTGATCCTGCTCCTAGTGAAGTAGATGACAAATTTCTATTGAATCCAGTGGGGAAGGTTAAAACTTTTAGTTCAACACAACTTTTTTGTAATTAAAGCTGGGAGACATTTTTGCATGAAACTATTTTTTGTGAATGATGCAGATTTGGCAACATTAACATATTTAATGAATTCCTGTCAATTTTGTTAAATTGCTTCAGTTGACCCTTCCCATACTAATTCCAAAAAATCCAAACATTTAATTTAAATATTTTCTAAATGAAACACTTTTTGGTTCAACATTTCCTTTAAATATGTTAAAAAACAGTACAAATTATCAAAAATTTAAATGAAGAATTTTGTTGGACTTTTCTACTTTTTCAATTTTTCAAAATTTTGTTTTGGCATGAAACAATTTTTCCTCGCAATTCCTTGGAATTGCCAGTTCATGGAAAAATCTATGATTTACCATAAGAATTCTGTCACTTGCCAATGCCATAGGATTCACTCACAGGAGGGGGAAGTGCCCACATTAATGCTGTTTCACATAGTATTAGCTTAGGCAGGGACTATGTTGGAGTTAATCAAGAAAACATTTTAAATGCACAGGCAGCGGGGCTCTTTGGTGCATATGGGTTGCTCCATTCCCTTCAGGGACTCCCCAGATCCTACTCCTTCCTCTATCCAGCAAAGTCGCTTGTGATATAGGCAGACCCCCGTCCCTGACTGTGGGATTAGTATATTATGTAGTCAGTGAGAAGCTTGATTTTAAATTAAAGTGACTGAATCATTCACAGGTTGCATCCAAATACAGCAATACATCTTTGAGACTCCTGTCCCATAGCATGTGCTAGCAGAAAAAGGACATTCTGTTGCCTTAGTTCATAAATACATACCCAAAATGGCAACAACAATGTCATTCTTGAGGATTTCAATAGAGCCTCTTGACAGGAAATAAAGAGCTGTGAGAACATCACCACCGTGGACTAAGGTATCACCAGGAGGAGCATGGGTTGTCTTAAACTTCATAGCTAAAGCTCGAAGACAACCTTTACTGGCCCCCTGGAAAGCTTTGCAGTTCTGAAGCAAGTTTTGGTTGAGGTGCAGACAAATGTCAGCTTGTAAGCATTCCGGAAATCCCTTTAGAACCTGAAGAGAAAAATGAAAGAGTTTCATATCAATACTATGCAAATAATTTTAAATAACTTGTAATGTTTTCTTTGTTCCCAATATGAATGCATTCATGTAAAAAATGGCAGTGGATAGCAAGGTTGGTCAGAATATTTTCAGTTCATCTAGTAGTTTAATGAACATGTAGTTTGATCAAAAAATATGGGATCAAATAGCTGTTCTCTGTACTGATTGAGTTAATTTAATCTGAATCCTAGTGGGATCTCTTGAAAATGTAGTGTCCACACACAATTGTTTTATTTCTTGCATTACAGGAAATTCAATTAGAACATATATGAATATATTGCAACAGGATAACAACATATAACTAGGCTTTGAAGCAGGGGCGAACATAGGGCAGGGCGAACGGGGGCGGCCGCCCCGGGCCCCGCGCTTCAGAAAGCCCCGCGCATGCGCCGTGGCAAAGGGGGGGCCCTGCGGAATTATGCTGCCCGGGGCCCCGCAAAACGGTCATCTGCCCCTGTTTTGAAGGACTAGGTTTTTATAAGGATAAATGCCAGTAAATGTTGATTTCACCATACACGCAATGACAAAACTATGTCCATGGATAAAGAAAATTTACAAATAGACAAAGTAAGAAAAATGAGGCTTGAGAACCTATTAGACTTTGGTTTAAGTACACTTTCTTTGTATACCATGACTTGTGATGTTGGCTATTTGTGTTTTAATGATTACAAGGCTTTAATTTTTTAATTCCAAGGGTCTAACAATTATTGTTTTATTGTCCATTATTTTCCAAAACTGAAAATTTTAATAGATCAAAATACAAACAAATGCTTAAAACCTGTAATTCTGCATAACTGTAAAAATTCAAATTGATAAGTGTTGTTAAATATATATATATAATCTAGAAACGTACAGTTCCTCAGTTGGCAAATCCTTGTACTCTATTGAAGCCAGATTTACACAAGCTGAGGATCTGGTCTATAAAAACTGCAGGTACTTGCTCATCTGTTATTCAGGTTCACTGGAATTTACCTGAACTAGAACCTAAGGATTCCCCAAAGATACAATGTTAATTTTTATCAGGGAATGAAGGTAATGCTTACAATTTTGTGACTTGGGGAAGAGATTTGCTAAATTGCTCAGCATTAACCTTTCTGTTTCCTCTGAAGCTAATGGAAGTTTTAGCATTGATTTCAGTTGAAAGAATGCCCACCCACTGTGTAAACCCAGCGTCAGAAATTGGACTTGTAATGAAGTTACTGTGCACGGTCCACTTCTTGGGCCATACTCTGTTTATTTTTCATTTATGTGGCGAGTCCTGTTGAAGTTTATGAGCCAAGTTCTCCTTTATTGCACAGTTTTCTTTAATTTTAAGGAGAGTTGCTTAAATATATCTGAATTCAACCCAACGGGACTAATCAGTATGAATAATGTGAGCAGGATTTGCCTTCTTGCTATTAAACACAGTTTATTGATTCACTACTTTTTTTTTTACAGTGTGCACACACACACATTTTATATGAGTAATAATATCAATAGGTGTTTTGGTAGAGAATGCAATTTAAAATAATTGATGTCATAACAGAATTCAGTCCTCACTGCATATTTTCTTATTTCAGCACAATAAAGGTTTGTGCAGTCATTCCTGTTGCATAAAGGGGGTTCTTAACTACTATCTCTCGCCTTGTTAGAAGAGACGAGGGAGTTGCACATTTCTGACTTGAGGCTGTTTGTCCACCAAAAGCCAAGCTATGATTTACAAATGAAACATTAGTACCTTTAATTGTGTTTGAAATGTTTCTATGATTGTTAAAAGAAATCAGTACAGCTTCTACTGTGAAATAACAGAGAACACAATGTTATAACACACATTTATACAAATAGTTTAACAATTTATGGCCTTAGAACACTATCACACCCATCTATACATCTTCAAAGCAGCTCAAATTCAACAAGAAGCAAAGGAAAACAAAACAAACAAAAAAAGAAAAGTTCTTATTTTATCACTGTTACTAATGTCTAATCAAATATAACTAGATACAATTTAAAATAAAATTGATTCTATTTTAATATGATTTTCTTCAAATGTATTAACAAGTTGCTATCATTTACAAAATTTACCATGTTTTGAATAATATAGCAAAACTGATATCTCAAACATATTAGATAAACAGCTTGAAGAGTAAATAGTTGGAAATATTAGCTTTCAAATTACCTTCATTTCTGTTCATGTGACTGAAGAAAAAAAGATAATATTTTGAAATGTTTAATTATTAATCTCTCTCATTTTGTTATGCTCTCATTTAAATGTAATGTAGAAGAGCCCAAATTTTATGACATGAAATACCAGCATATTTTCATTTCAGCTGTGCTAAAAGTAATTTTTTTTTGGTTAGACACACACAAGCACATCCTTAGGATGAATCAGATTCATTTAAATTTATATTGGTATTAGTGAACAAGGAATTGTACTCTACTATTAAACAAGAACTATACAAAGCACGTTTGCTGGTTTAGTTAATATTTCTGTACATTTTTGGTTTATTTTGAGAAACAAGTGTAAAGGTCATTCATTTATTTTGAATGTGAAGATATAAACCCGGGCTACTCAACACATGGCCTGCAGGCAACATGCAGCCCACGGCCTGTTTGTTTGCAGTCCACGATGCAGTTTGGATTTACACGGGGCTCCACATGCGGCCCACAGGTGGGATCCAAAACAAAAAAGTAGACAATATAATGGTCTTCTGTTGATATGCATTTTAGTAAAATTCCTGGACTATCATTGCTCATTAAAAATGCTGTCATATAGGTAGAAATCAGGTAAATATTGCATTTTATTAATATCAGCAGAACTGACTTAAATGGGGCCTGTGTGTTGTGTAGTCTTGCCTTAATTTTTGTATTCATGCCTGTCAGTGTGAAAATAGCTATTTGTGCTGTGAGTTTCACTGTGGTCCCTGAGGCTTCCAAAGTTGAGTAGCCCTGATATAAACCATTCCCTGTTATGTTAGTTGCTGTATTTATATTTCAATATCACCCAAAATGTACTAGGCACAGTACAAATATATATGAGGAGATAGGCCCTGTTCCAGAGAGATTATACACTACACCAGGGGTGGGCAATAATTTTTGACAGGGGGGCCACTGCAAGATTTTGGAAAGTGGTCGAGGGCCACACTCTTCCATAATATTAATGGAGATGCGGGGTCTGGAATTGAGGTTGGGTGCAGAAGGGAGCTTGAGGTAAGAGACTGTGGTGCAGGAGGGAGACTGGAGTCTGAGAGGGAGTTGGGATGAAGCAGGCAGTTATGACCTAGGTCAGGGGACTGGAGTGTAGGAGTTTGAGATGTTATCTAGGGTACGAGGGAATTGTGATCTGGGGCAGGAGATTGGGGTGCCAGATCTGGGAGGGGGTATGGGTGTAAGAGGGGGACAGAGGGTTTGGGTAGGCTGGGGGAGAGAGGAGAGAGAGTTGGGTCAGGAAAAGGTGGGGGACGGGTGCAGAAGCAGGCTGTGGCCAAGAGACTTACTTGTCAGCTGCCAAACTAGCCTGCCTGCCTGCCGAGCTTAAAATGTTTCCCAGCCAGCCAGCCTGCCTGCCTGCCTGGCCCTGTGCTTCATGAATATCTGAGCCCAGGAGAGGGGGGAGTGATTCTTCTTAGCTGCCTGTTATTCTAACAAGCAGCTCCCATTGGCTGGCCAATGGGAATGTGCTGGGGTGGGGCAGCTCCTAAAACTTCCCCTCTCCCCTCCAGTTACAAAACAGAAATGGGGCCCTGCCGCCGTGTTTCTGCACAGCGCACAGGGCTGTGGGGCAAGCAGGGGAACCTGCCTGGGGCTCCCTGTTGCCTACACAGTCCAGATCTGGTGGCTTGGTGGGCCGGATCCGGCTCGTGGGTCATATTTTGCCCAGGCCTGCCCTACATTTTCATAAATATTCTACCTCAGGTATTCAGCGCATTTATGATTTGAAGTTATGATTATCATTGATCCCCTAAGGAAATTAAGCACCTAAAGTCCACTTATTGTGATGGGAGTTGGGTGATTTACTTCATTAAGACAGCTTTTAGAAATCACAGCTGCAGTTCTTAACTTAAAAAGAGTTAAAATGTGTCAGAACATTGAGATATACAGTATTACTGAAAGCAGATTTATATTATATTTGATAATATTGTAAATTTTAGCAAATTATGTTTTGTCAAGCTACCATAAAATTTATTCTTTTCTAATTTCACACCACCATAAATACAAGATAACTGTATGCAAATTAATGGAGTTACCATTCCTGTTAGATTGATGAATTAGGAAAGCAGGCCTTAATATTTATTGAGTGCCTTAATTGCCAATCCAAAATACTCAATAGTCAGAAGTAGGGGTTCTTTTGATCTATCATCCAGTTTCTGAGCCATTAAGTACACTCGTCACATTGACAAGTTTCTCTGTGACCAGGAGGACTAGAACATGCTCTTTTAAAAAATAAAAGCTGAGATTAAATTTACATGGCTGCCGCGCTGAGCCGACAAACAGCTGATCAGCTGTTTGTCCACTCAGCGCGCTAGTCTGGATGCTCCCCTGCCGACATCAAAGCCCTTTGTTGGCAGCCCCGGTAAACCTCATCCCACGAGG